AAACTCTCTCATTCACTTCCCTTTCTCCTCCTGACAGCAAGGAGTACCGTGGTCGATGGGGGTCCCTCAGTGTTTGATTTAGTGGGTCTTTATGAGATCCACTAAATCAAATCCCGGAAGATCAATTGACAAAGTGTCAATTCTCTGGTGAGTGATGCGTGACCTAAGTTTCTTCTGTTTGTACCAAACTCAAGTACTGACAGAAGAAATTAACTATATTGAATTTTCCCAACTCTATCAATATGGATTAAGTTGCACTGAAAAGCTCTGGAGGAGGAGGTGTGCTGAATCATTTTGCTGAACGGGTTTGAAGAACTGCCTCAGTCGTTCTTTGCCTTTGCTAACCTTTCCTTTCTAATCCCTTGTTCAGAATCTGACTTTTCATATGCTTTGTTAACTACTCACAAAAATTACTGATGCCAATGAAAAGATCCTGTTTAAATCCTTTGGTTTAGGAATTAGAATCTTCTGTCATATAAAATGGTCTCTGATCACTTTTTTCCCCCAATCCTATCAAGACTTTTGTCTCTTTGGCTTTGATAAAGAAATAGATTAAACAAATGATGAAAAAAATGGATCTGGCTTGAACTTTGAGTAGTTGATTGTCCAGAATTTTAAACTGCCAACATCTGTATGTATCTGAACTTTTATATTATTTATATCTGTACCTACATTTCCTGCCACAAACTATTGGAAACAGAGAATTCTGCTATACTCCGAACATTGAAAATACTATTCTAGGCTCAGTGAAAAATGGGGGAGGGGGAATATATGACCCTTTAATTAAACATTTCTGCAATTTCCTAGATAAGTTGCATTTGTAGAAAATTATTAGTGTTTTATCAAGAGAATGCTATTGTGGAGAACACATTGCAACCATTTCCAGTGTGGTTTTGGTGATGTAGATATATTATCTTTTTATTTGTGGATGTTTAATAACTGAATACTACATGCACAGTCCTATTAAAGGATAACAAACCATCTAATAAGTAAGAATCAGTCTGAACATTTGTCAAGAGGCTGTTTTGAAGTTTAAAACATCACAAGATTTTTTTTTTCTTTGTAACATTACTTTGGGTCAGTGTGCTGTGTTGAGTTAAGAACAGAAACAAATTTACTTCGATAGACAACATTATTAGGGTAGCTCTGACCCAATGAAAATTAGCCCCCAAAATAAATTTAATCTGTCAGATCAGAATCTCACAATGATGCCTTTTATTGTAAGATTTCAGATCATTTTCTAGTCCAAAACATTTTGGGTAAGTGGAGATAATGCTAACCTGATGTGAATCCAGAGCTATTTTCTATGACCTTTTCATACCCCAGAATTCAAAGATATGATAGGAAAGGCAGGAATACATATCCACTGGTAAACCTACTCTGCACATCTGTGAGTAATGTTAAAGCCTTTGGGGTTATTTTATTATAATTTACATTACTACTAAGTAGTTGCTGATTGCAACTCTAAGGTTAAATTTCCAGCTGGTGCTCCATTATAAGCCTTATTTGACAATCTTAACTCCGAAATACCTGGAGGAGTTACTGGTCTGATTTCTTCTTTGATTACCATGTGCTGCAGAATTGGTTTTGATGATTTCCAGAACTGTACGACAGATAGGAATTAAAAAAAAACCTATGGTGTTTACAATGAGAGATCCACATTGTTTCCTGACCATTCTTATCTGAACATAGATTTATTGTATAAGTCTAAAAAATTCATACCTGTGTACACTATAAGACACTTAGGAACACTGTCATTTTTAAAAAATAAAAACCCTGTTTTCAAGCTTCAGTTAATATTTTAATGTTTCAAAAACATGGTGTTATTTTACACCTGGTATATCATTATGTAATATTTTTTGTGTCAAATGTATTTGACAAACTGATAGATACAAATTGTGTATCAATGCAAGAACCTGCAATACTGTACTTTTAATTTCCAAAATGTATGTTTCTATCTCCATTTTTGCAAAGATAAACTTGGGAAAGTAAACATGAGAAAGCGTTAACCTAAACTAATGGATTGGCCTTAGAAAGGAGGCTTTGTCACATATATTTATCATCAAGTGAATTATATGAGAAAAGATAAAATCTTTGGTCCCAAATCACCTCATGACTAATGATAAATGGAGTGGACAGACTGTGTGGGGCAAATAGGCTGACCTAGTAGCTGTAGGAGGTACAGGCTGTACCAGGTATGTTCAATATACAGGCTATATCATGTTTATCTCTTTCAGATGACAGAGAGAAAGAGAATGAGAGAGAAGATAGCAAGAATGCACCAGACATAGAAGCACTGGAAGGATGATTCTCAATAAAGAGAGGCCTTTTGAGTAAAGGGTTGGCTGAAAGAGGATTGGAAGCAAATATTATATTTCATGTTTGGTTCCTCCTGTGCTCAATAAAAACAAGATTTAGTGTTTGCACAGAAAACAAACTACATCAAAGAAATAACTGTCTCTATACTGTAGTTTCCATTAGAAGGGAAATTGAGGACCCAACATTTTGGTTAAAGACTGGGGGCAAAAAAGGGAAACAATGTGAACAGGACCTATTCATTCATGTCAGTGAAACGCACTAAACTTTGGAACAAATATCATATACATATACCTTCAGTTAGCAAAATTTACAATAACTCTATTGGAGAGACCAAGTTAAAGTTATTTGGGTGCTGGTGACTCAGAATTTCTCTGCTTAGTGATCTATGTCTATGAACTCAGGTTTAGTGTTGATGTCAGAGTAGTCTATGTAGTAATGTTTTGAGATTTCCATACTTCCTAGTGTTCAAGATTTTTTAGGATGCATTTACGATACAGCTCTTGAATTGCCTTAGCAAGCTTAACTATACCTTAACACTTTTCATTTCATTGTTCACATCAAAGTAATCCCATATGATTTCATCTGCCATTCTTGCCTGATAGGAGGGTTCTTTACATTTTCTGCTGGCTCCCTTATATTCTGCTGATCCCCTACTCTGTTCCTCATGACAAACCGGCAAATGGGATGAAGAAGGTAGGTAGTATGTTATTCCAAACCTGGAATAAATTTGGTGTATATAGAGATCTTTCCTATTGGTTTAAGCCTTTTTCTAGTGAAACCCATTTTTCTCCATCTACAGATTATCATGGAAAACCAGATGTGCATGTTTACGAATATATGCCATGCCTGTGTGCATTGCTATCTTTTTTCAAAGACCCTTGGCTTCTTTAACTGACCTTTATTTCATGGGCATCATGTTTATGGGTTTAAGAGGGGCCAGAATTTGGCACAATGTGTATTTCAATTTGGCAGAAAGTATAACTGTACTGATGAAACTATCTTTGCTGTGATACTAAACAACAAGAACAATGAAAAGACTTCTGATGTCTTTTCCGATAACCAAATCATTACTCTGCACAAAGATGTTTCATTAAAGCAAACAGTGGGAAGTCCCATGCTGAAAGAACTCACTGCCAGAATAAGAGAAGTGTGATTTCTGTTTCCCATTTGCTGCCACCATCACTACACATCACACTGGTTTGTGATGTAACTGTCTCGTGTGGAACTCTGATAGAATTTTATCTTATTTAAAGTGTTTGGAACAGAAGTCTTCAGAGAAGATGTCTGACCTCGGTTCTCAATCCAAGCAATACATTTTCACTTGTGGCTCTGGTCTGATGCGGGTTTTAAAACAAACACAATGAACAAAAAAGTACAATTTACAAGATATTGACAATAAAGATGTAAAAACCTTTTTACATCTATAGATGTAAAAGCATTTTCTAGAGATGGTTCAAGAACACAGTTATTCTAATCTTTGTAGGTTTAGGCTGTGTTCAGAGTTCAGGTTCAAGCCCAAATTGGTCAGATTCAACTATTCAGAGAAGACACAAACCATTAACAAGAGATGTGGCTGTAAACGTTACATGTTTCACAAATCACAAGAGCAAATGACAAACTAACTTCCCATTATTTTAATAGGAAATGTCATAAAACTTGATGTTATTCCGAGATTACCAGTAACAAAGGTCATGTGTGAACCAGATCTGGGAAATAGGTCTCTTCTGTTCTAAGCTGAAAACCACATAGGAAGTTAAGATTTAAGTAAATAAAATCCTCAGTTAATGGTAGTCCTGACTTAAGATTCAGATTTGGACTGCTGTCTATTTCATTTTAGATGTAAGTCAAAGTGAAATTGGATCCAATCAGCATTGAAGTTAGTAGGAGCCTTTTCTTGTTTACTTGAATAGGCATGGCAATAGGCTTTTAAATAGATTGATGTGAAATCTGTCTGCCCCATTTCAACTTTAGAATTTCATCCATTCTTTCATTTTAAAATCTGAATTCAGTTCTGATTTCATCTTGCAAAGAAAGAGGCATATTATCTGACATGGAGAAATCAGCCATGGAAATACCCACCAGAAATCTCATACAAGAGCAATAACCCTGATGAACTACCACCATGTTAGCCCCTGGCGGGCTGCCAACACAGCTCCCATTGGCCAGGAATGGTGATCCACAGCCAATGGGAGCGGCAGTCACCAGTACCTGCAGAAGCACAGGTAAATATAGCAGTGCCGGCCCATCAGGGGCTAACATTGGTGAACTGGATCCGGCCTGAGGGCCAGTATTTGCCCAGCCCTGTTATAACAGAAGGTGATAAAATGCATAAAATTTCTGTGACACTCAAACTCAATGACTTCGTCAACATTAACATATGAATTGACCTTTTCTTGGAACCGATTTTTTCCCTTTAATTTAAAAAAAAGATTCTTCGAAGATTAGACTTGAGACTTACAAACTTCCGGAATGCAGCTTTTCAAAGACTAGCAAAATATCCTCTGAGACAGAACCCAGTACCCTGGAACTCAATTAGATTTTGACCTTCTTCAACAAGAAAGGATTGGTAGAGACACATTGTTTGCTACTTGCTTCAATTAAATTGGGACCCAAGAGAGACAGATGAAGAGATTCAAAGAAGAGAAATACAGTTAACAGAATTGCATTCAACTATCAGCTTGAAATAAATCTTATTTACTTTATTCACCCACTACATTAATAAAATATGCTACAATTTACTCAGAAATGTGACATTTAATTAAGTTTTGAGGATTTAACATTTGAAAAGAGTAAGAATAAGGTTTTGTTTTTGTTTGTTTTAAGTGGGAATCCTGAGTTCTAAATTCTTTAAAAAACATCATGGTCCAAAAGTACACCTAGTCAACACGAGAATCAAAAACCCTCCTGGGTTAGCTTGAAAAGCCTAAGGCACAAGCATAACACTTTAAAATTACTTCCTGCTGCAGCATGGCATTAAAGCTGTGACACAGAAACACAGATAGTCTTTGATTAGATCCTTTTATCTCAAAGTGCACAATTTGATTTTCACAGAAATTATACCACAGAAATACCTTTACTACTAAATCACAGTGTGCCAAGATTTCAGCTATCAGGTAATGGAGCCCAAATGAAAGCGATATCAACTACTGTGGCACAGGGTTCCCAGACAGCTTGTTTTTGTTTTGTTTTTAATAAAAGCTAAGAGCTTCTCTCATTGCTCCCTCCCCTCTCCCAGAAGTTCTAATCTTTCTCTAGACACAGAATAATCATAAACATATGAGGATGGATGAAAAAGGCTGAGATTTTCTTCATTAAATATTAATTTTGGTCCCACATTTATAGGCAGTGACACTATTGAAAGCTGTGGCAGAGCCCTGTCTGAAAAACCTGAAATCAGAATAAATAGACTGAAAAGATTATTGATCAATGCCCATGCACCTATCTCATTTATTTCCAGTATATCCTTGGCTACAAATCGTTTTTAACCTTTTCTTGGAACATTAAAAAAATTAAAAAGCTAACAAAGTACATCATTATTAACAATGCTGTTAAATGCCTAAAGAAATAACCTAGGGAGAACTCATTGTCAAGTATGTTTTATGAAACCTTGTTAAATTTTCCTAATATAATTGCACTAATACCCCCTTGACAAAAAGCCCTTATGGAATATAGTGCTTCCTTTATACAATAAAAAAGACTAATTTAGCTTGTCACAACACAGAACTGAGTTAATGCAGAAGTCAAAGTGTGCTCATTTGAATTATTAAATACAAATATTGTATGATAGCATGGCTGTTCTTAATATCCATTGAATTTGCTTCCCTTGTCATGTAATGATTATGGATATTTAATGTGACTATATGAATAGAGAGCTACTACCCACCTTAAAATTATTATAGAGTGACATTTCATATCAGCCATTTTAGCATGTTACAGATTTGCAATAAGGAGGCCAAATATTTTATCATTATAAAATTCCGGTTCATTAGAGGAAAGTACTTCTTTGTCTTTTTGTGAGTGTATTTAATAGCCATTCTTTCAATTAAGAGTTGGTAGTTCTGTTTTTTTGGTCTATAAATTGCAGTCTTCCGGCTCCCTCTCAGTATGGCGAAACCACTGAAAAGTTTTATTAACTGAAAATTATTGCTGGACTGTGATTTGTAGTGAATCTAGGCTGGCAGATGGTGATGATGATTGGTGGAAGATTCTTGTGCAGAATAAGATGTTTCCTCCTGCTGAGTAGCAAAATTAATAAATACCTGAAAGACACAATGTAAGAGGACTTATCATATAGCAATCATGAACAGGAACTTTTTGTCTCTTTTGTGACTTTTTTAGGCCACTTTTATTAAGAAAAACAGTAGAAGTCCTTGTTCAGTGAAATCTCTTCAGAGTTACAGCTGAACTAGAGCAGTTGGCAAACAAATCACTCTTCCCTTTTACATCTTCAAGTCAAATAAAAATAATGATAGAACAGTTTGATATGATAGTCCGTATGACTATCCTCTTTCCTTGGGAACACTGGATTTTGCTTGAATAAACTGAATAAATTGAATAAACTGAATAAACAAATCTATATTTCAAAAAATATTGGGGAGGGGGCCTGATCCTGCTTTCATTGACTTGAATGGCAAAACTCACAGAAACTTCAGTGGTACAGGCCCTGGCCTAGAAATTTACAGCTAACATTTGTGTTGAACGCTGATGTGGGCAAACATCTATTTGAATTCCCCATGTCTGTTCTATTCAGTTGGGACCCCTGATTGTTTCCTTTTCACTTACATTCATAGGAACAGGTTTTTTGATTATTCAGATATTGGAGGGTGACAATTCTTAACTTACATAAGAATATTCACATGCAAGCAAAAGTATTCATTTAAGAGCAAGTTTTAAGAAGTCAGTGTTCTGCTGTTTAAAATTTTTACGTATTCATCCAGAGAGCAAAAACAAAACCATGTGACTGAGGGCAGCAATCACTCCCCATAAATAATGGAGAGCCTGAGTGAACAGTCCAGGAAAAACCCATAGGCTATTTGTTTGTATAAATTATTCACTGAATAATTGAAGTAGCAGGAGCTGATAGATTAATACAAATCCAAGTCTGTTCATGAATGATTTGCTCTAGAAAAAAAAGCTAATCTCACACAAATACTATTCATAATTAATATCCTGACCAGTTTGAATTCACAGCATTTTCAGAATATGCACAAGAAGTTACATCCCTAGCTGCTGTAGCACAACACTGGCACCCAGGAATTTCATGATCATCATCATATTATACATAGTGTAAACGAACAATTTCATAGGCATAAGCAGAGATCCCTTCTTTCTGCGTATACATAGGTACATGGATTGCAAATGCAAGCAAAATGCATAACGTTTGCTTCAGAGGGAAAGATCCCAATCACGTCCATAAAAGCAAAAAGTTCTTTAGTTATAAGATTATTGTGGCTCATGAATCACTCTAGGACAGTTCTTTATAAACTGCTACATCACTCTAGGACAGTTCTTTATAAACTATATTCTACTACATACATAATGGAGCGGCACAGCATATTCAGAAAAAAGAAAGGCAACATATAGGAGGAACATACCTGCTCTAAAGTGGTTTGGCTAATGGAATAATGTTTGATTTGTAGTAGAACTTTATGTGTCTCTAAAACTTTGAAGAGCTCCGGTAAGCAGCCCCAGCTGTATGGCACACGATACTCCTGCAGATTAAGGTGCTGGCCCTTCAAACGAACATAAATAAACGTAAATGAATATTCTGATAGCTATATTTATTTTTGATCTTCAGCTGCAAAATATGATTTTGTAAGGATATACCAGAGCTTGATTGTAACATAGTAAAAGGTACAAGGTGTGCTTCAGAAAAGATCATCCTGTTTCCTCAAAGCAATCACAGTGAAATTGAAAGACAACTGGCTCTGCTGCTGCTGAGATGTATTTTTCCTATCAGTTTAAAGTTAGAGATGGCCTCAGACCAAAACCATTGATTCATATACATAGGAGAATGGAAAGCATTTGAGAAATCACACTGAAATCAGAATGTTACATGTTATATTTACAATGGCCAAGCCAAAACCTCAAATCACAACCTCACCGCAGACCAAAACGCTACAGTTTGGATACATTTTCAGAGACAGGTTTTTACATTACACCCATAAAGTAGCCATTTTGCATATGAAAATGTATATTTTAGTCTATATTTATGCATGAATACACATTTTGGAGATAAGACAATATGGCAGTGTTATGTTTGAAAGTGTTACTCTTTTATAATGTTTTCAGATCATACAATATAAGCAAATCCAGAAAACTTATTGATAGAAGGATCAGACCAATTGACTTTTTCTCTGTGACTCTGAAAAACAGAGGTCCTTCAGGATACAGTACTATAACCACCTGGCTGTAGGCACTGGCAAGATTTGAGAAAGAAGAATAAAGTTTGCTTTTATTAACTAATGGGTACTGCAATCTCTCTGTCACTATCTCTTTCTCTCGCTATATAGATATATCTACACACATACAATCAATTGTCCTATGGTTGCCATTAGCAACACAGCTAGGAACAAAATGTGTGAGTTCTACATCAGCACTATTATATAAACAAATGGCTGAGTGCCTGTGAAAATGAAAATCTCAATACATCTATGGGCTTATCATAAGGCTAAGATATCACACAAATTTATCTGAATGGATGAACTAAAGAAACGAAAAGAAAAATGAAAGGAGGGGTTAAAATGTCTCGAGGGAAAATGCCTAACATATAAGTGTATCTTTTGATTATGATGCCCAATTCCTTGCATTAGTTAAGCCTCAGAAGAATTCCCCTAATTTAATTCTGAATTCAAAGAGACAACTAGCTAAGAAAGGAGAACAAAGTTGTAGCAAAACATTTCAATCAACTATTAAAATATATATGAGAGCTTTTTTTGTAGTGACATACATACATAGTAATTGTCATCCCACAGTCAAGAGTTATCACACAATGATATGTGAAATACTACAGCATTTCCATATGCTTAAAATAGAAGGCATCAGAGATATTTTAGATGTCATTGTGTGGTAGCTGAGGGCAAATGCTGATTTTTTAATGGTGATTAATGCAGTAAGATCATCTGCCTGCCATTTTCTATGCACTGTATTGACTGGGAGAGGACAAGGGAAAATATGGACCTATTAACTTATAAGTTACTTCCATTCTCTTCAGAGAACATAAGATCAGGCCCTGTGTGCATGTAGTAGGAACTCTGACTCTGTAAATACAAAAAATAATAAAGAGAATTGCAACTCATGAACTAATAACATTTGCTTATGTTGCCAAAATGAGCCTACTATGCATCCGGGGTTAATCTGCACTATATTGTGGGTGACAATTTAACTGTTACACACATACCAATTAAAATGGTTAGCCCTACAGATCTGGAAAAAATGAGAAACCACCTAGTTTATTAAAATGTATCTTTTGTTAAGATACCATCTTATCCTTGGCAACTGCTGTGAACAGAGAATTTCAGACGTACCTTAAACTGTGTTCCTGGAAAATGTAGCTTCAGACAGTCCAAAATAGCACTGTGGTAACTTGTTTCTTTGCTAAGCCAAACCTTGACTGAATAGCCATCTCCAAATCTGAAAACAGTGAGCAGAGACACAGATTGCATGTTCTGTTCCATAAAGATGAGACAAATTCTTAGTTAAACTGATTGTCATACAATGTTATCAAGTAACAGCATGGGTACCTATTGTATTATCATCATTGGGATTTTAATATTATACTGTCGTCAAGCACACATTGATAACCAGAAGGAAAAGATATTGTCAATTACATTGATACTCTATAATGTCACAAAACTCTATTTGTAAAGGAGAACATGTCTTAATGACTATACAACTTTGAACAGTCAGTGGAAGATGGCATTTGTTACTAGAACCAAATACAGAAAAGGAAGGCTGGAAGGTATATTTTTCCTAGCAGGAGAGAGAAAGTATAAAACTGTGGATTATCACAATTCATTGCATTTACTGAGGACTTGCCATGGAGAAGCTCAAATGTTTTACAAACATAGGTATTATCTCTATTTTACAGGAGTAGAAAGAAATGCGTGGAGTTGTTCTGTGTTTTGTCAATCACAAATCACAGTGCTGGGGGGAATTCTGCAATTTTACTATGACTCCAAATGCAACAATTGCATTCCTCTCTCTGGACACATTCATAATCTGTAGGTAAGTCAAGTTTTGAAAAAGTAACAGACATTATTTTGATTAAATATATTATTTTCTAGCAATGTATGTGGAATGTTAATTTTATACATGAGACATATAAGTGATGAAAGTCACTTCTGCAGTATCATACATTTGCTCATGATCATTTTTAAATACTTTAAGTACTTTCAAGTGCTTTTCCTGCTCCAAAACAAAGTCTATACACAATCTTTACTCAAAATCTCATCCTCCTTTCCTAGGATTTGGTTACAAAAATAACATACCACACACAATACAATATCAATTAACAAAACTTCTACCCTGCTTATCTGTTCCTATGTTTCCTATCTCAATATTGCTCAGCCTATACCTTAATTTTCTCTTCCAAGCAAACTACTCCCACTTACCTCACTTACGTCAGAGGTAATGAGACATTACCTGTCTAAATGAATCAGCTGAACCCACTTTCTCTCATGAAGCTCAAGGCTGGTTAACAGAGTTGAATGTTTAAAACAAACTCTGCTATAACACTATGGCACAGAGTCCATTTCTGGATTATGTCACCTTCTACTGCTCGGTGCTAGTGAAATTTCTACAGCACACAAGCAGATGGTAGAGACAATGACAAATGGCTGGTTCTTCTGAGGAAAAAAATCCTTATTTCACAATGTCCCTGAAGAAACAGACAGTTTCCAGTCATAACTCACAACTCTCTGCAGCCTCACTGTTATGGGAATGAGTGAGCATGACGACAGCAGCAGAGTGCCAGATAGCTCCATGTCCTGCTGCACCTTGTGTCAGCTGGGATTGTGGGTCACTGACCCATAGTATGTAGTAAGCCCTTTGCAGGTCCACTGAATGAGAGTGTAGGGCACAGCACAGACACCCAGCCCAGGCTACAAGGAAGAGGACAAGCTCTTGTCCATGGTGAAACCTCCTCACTGCTGAATGTCTCCTGCACTCTGGATTACTCACACTCCTAAAACCCATATCCCCCATGCCATTAAGATAATATGAGTAAATTGTTCTGTATTCTGTACCTTTCCTCCTTTACATTTAGAAAAACAGTACTGTATGCCCTGAGTGCACATTGCATGAAGTGAACACACAAAAAGGTACAAAAGGAAAAGGAGTGCCCATGGATATCACCACCTAAACCCTCAGCTCAACCTCTCATCAATAGTCTGAGAAAAAAAAGCAACAAAGATGAAACGCTAAAGCATAAGCCTTGGATTCAGGAGGTGTTTTCCCAGATTCATCACAGATTGCCTATGTTCCGTTCAGTATAACCCTTCAATTCCAGATGAGCCATTTTTTCCATGAAAACATGTGGATAATAATAATAATAATAATAATAATAATAATAATAATAATAATAATAATAATAATAATAATAATAATAATAATAATAATAATAATAATAATAATAATAATAATAATAATAATAATAATAATAATAATAATAATAATAATAATAATAATAATAATAATAATAATAATAATAATAATAATAATAATAATAATAATAATAATAATAATAATAATAATAATAATAATAATAATAATAATAATAATAATAATAATAATAATAATAATAATAATAATAATAATAATAATAATAATAATAATAATAATAATAATAATAATAATAATAATAATAATAATAATAATAATAATAATAATAATAATAATAATAATAATAATAATAATAATAATAATAATAATAATAATAATAATAATAATAATAATAATAATAATAATAATAATAATAATAATAATAATAATAATAATAATAATAATAATAATAATAATAATAATAATAATAATAATA